TTGAGCAAGAGAGAGACTTTTCGGAGGAGGAGATTTAGCAAAATCTCAAATCATGCAAAAAAGATAAGGCACCCAGTTTTGATGGCTTTAACATGATCTTGTAGGAGTTCTAGTGTAAGTGGGTCCTTCGTAAAATCCATCAATTCTTCCTTTTTGTTCCTCATTGCAAAGTATGGGGGAGTGCATAACATAAAGGACTTCAAACCCACAAGTCTAGTTGGGTGTATTGACAACCTGATCGCCAAGATGCTTGCAAGAAGAATGAGTTCAATTATGGCTAAGGTGATTGGGGAATGTCAACACGCCTTTGTAGGAGGAAGATAGATCCTTGATGATACTTTGATTGCTAATGAGCTCATAGGCAAAATTCTATACAAAAAAAGGACAAGTTGTTATGCAAGCTTAATATAGAGAAGGCCTATAACCATGTGTATTGGAATTTTGTGAACTAGGTTGGATTTCGGAGAGAAGTGGAGGAGCTGGATTAGGGCATGCATACAACCACATTCTTTGTAGTTAATGTAAATGGAGGACCATCATTTTTTTTTTCAGGGATTCTAGAGGGTTAGGCAGGGGAATCTTTTATCTCCTTTGTTTTTTTATTGATGTTATGGAGGCTTTGAGCAAAAATGTTGATAAAAGCCAAGGAATGTAATTTATTCAAAGGCCTAAAGGTAGAAAAGAGGGATAGGGTTGAAGAAGTTACACACTTATTCTTTGTAAATGACGCTATGCTTTTCTATGGGCCAGATAAGATAGTCATGCTTAACCTTCGATGTGTTTTGATGGTATTACAAGCAGTTTCTAGGTTGAGTACCAATATGTCTAAACCAGATGGTCAGATTGGGCACAGGGAGGGAGTCAGAAGACTTGGCGTGTGCCTTAGGGAACCGAATTGCCAGCTTAGCAATTAGATATCTGGGTTTGCCTTTACGTGCTAATTTCAAAGATATGAAGACATGGGATCTGGTTGTGGACAGATTTGAACTGAGACTTACTAGATGAAAGTGGGTCTTCCTTTCAAAAGGAGGGAGGCTCGCGCTCATTAGAAGCGCTATTATTAATTTACTCATTTATTTTTTATCTCTTTTGACTATTCCAGTGAAGGTGGCCAAGAAATTAGAAGCAATTCAATGCAGATTTCTTTGGAGAGATAAAGAAATACGAAG